CTGTTTGTTTCAGCCTCTTAATGGTTCAGATGTCTGAATGGTTAAGAGATTTGCCTCTGAATGGTTAAGTATTATACAGAGTCTGAATGGTTAAGAGCTCTTATCTGAATTGATCAGACATTTGCCTCTGAATAGTTAAACAATATACTAGCTCTTAATGGTTCAGACCTCTTACTGGTTCAGCACTTAATGATTCAGACCTCTTACTGGTTCAGCACTTACCCATTCAGAAGTTACCAAACAGCCCCTTAACATTGTTGTCTTTCTTTGCACGCATGTGAAAAGTATTCTTCATCGCCTTATCGGCTTATACAATTGGAAAATGCTACAGGTATGTCAAATGGTGAGCCCCAATTGTTTAATGCTACACAGTACCCCAATTGTTTAATACTACACATTTTGTAGTGTAAGAAAAAAATTATAATAAATATTTATGGTTCAAAATGTTTGGAGTACATTTTTCGATGTACCCATAGCATTTCTCTGTACATTTATCGACTTACGGAGTATATTTTAGCTTTAGACATTGCTTGACATTTGAGAGTAGTGTTTTTTATTTTCTTTAGCATTATAGATGACTTGCTCAAGTTAAACATTATTATTAGATACATTTTTTAAAATTTTTAAGACTAAACACTGAAATCATTACTAAAAGTGTGTTTAAAGGTTACATTTCATTTTTTTTACTATACCCTTCTTTACATGAAAAATCTTTGTTTCATTTTATGGAGTTTATGAAAATTATTGAAAAGTGAGATATGGATAAATTTTATTTAAAGAAAAAATGATTATTGTAAATCTTTTATTTATTTCCTTACATAAAGAGAAACAAGGAGTTTATTTTGAAAGGCGAAAAGGAAAAATATAAATTTTATTTGGAACAATGTATTTAAACATTAACCACAAATTATAGAAAAACTAGTGAAATGGTGATATATGGATTTATTTTGAAACATATTTTTAAATATCATATATATTTATAATATATTTTATATATATAAAAATATAAATAGTCAAAGTGTTTCATTTAATGCTTCATTTTAATTTTTTCAAACTTTTTTCGTTTTTCTTTGACATTTTTTTTTTTTGAATTTCTTATAACTTTTTTCAATATCTTACAAATTCTTTCGAATACTTTCAACTCTGAATTGAAAAATACTAAAACTAGATAATACAATGAAATGAAACTAATTAATTTTTCAAAAATGCTAAAACTGAACAATGGCATTACCTATTATATACTCCCTCTGTCCACCATAGATCTTCCCAGTCACTATTCACAGGGTAAAACTTTACTCACTTTGTTTACTCAATTTTACTAGTCATTTCATAAAATAATATATTCTTGTCATCTCTAGTTTTGTAGAACTTTTCATGTAGTTTATTATTATATAAATTTTATTTTAAAATTTTACTCCTATAATCAAATAAATTGAATTGAAAATAAAGTCGGTCAAGCTTCGTAACGCGTAATGGGAAGATCATACATGGACGGAGGGAATAGTTTTTTCAAAATACTCCGTATGATGTTGTCAAACGAGGATTATTACCGCAAGTAACGTTTATTAAAGAAATCAGAAAATGCACAATGGAGTGAAGGGAGCCAACAACAACCTAAAATCACCATTAAAGGCTAGACTATTTAAGTATGATTAGTTTATTAATGTATTGTTTGGAGGTAGGGAAAGAGACCTATTGATGAATAGTTTAGTTGTTAGATTTGTACTTTTCTTCACTTCTTTTCTATGTCAATTATGTTGTATTCTTTCTTGATTGTTTCAATATATAGCTATTTTTCTGTACAAAAAAATATAATGTTTGAAAACTAAAATTTATTTGTATTATTAGATTTTAAATTTTGTAATTTTAAATTTCAAATGTAGTTTTTTCTTAAAGAAACACTTTCCTAACCTAAAACAACAATTATAATGATATCCCGAGATGAAACAACTCACTCTTCTATACCCTCCATAGAATAAGTAGCTCACACCAACATGTGAGTAGATTTATAAACTATTCCTTCCGTTCTCAAAACGAGTTTCTATTTTAACAAGGTGTAAAAAAAAATATGAAAGTGTTAAATCGTAGCTGACTTCTTATATTTCTGTTGATGTGATGAGTAAAAGTAAGATATGATGTGATAAATAAAATATGAAAAAATAAAGGTAAACGTGGAAATTTTTATTAAAAGAAAAAATAAAAGGTGGAGTGTTTAGAACAAAAGGAATACAAATAGACTTCCACAATTCATTTGGGAATGATGTAGATTTGTAAACTACTCGTACAAACATGGACTCATAGTATGCAAAAGTTGCATGCTTAGTTTATTTCTCAAACTGTTTCTTAAACATTGAGAAAGTAGTAGTCTTAATCATGTGTTTTGCACGAGCTTATATATTTATAAATTTTTAATATTTGATAAATATAATTTATTCATTTTAGTTTTTTTAATAATGAAAAATATTTGTTAAATTGGTGATATATATGTGTGTATATATATACACACACCCCGGATTATATATTAGAAAACTCAACATTAAAATAAGCTTAGTAAAATCCATTCAAAATCAAAATCTTCCATTTTTGAGAGATGGAAGAAGTAAATTATTACGGAGTACTACAAAAACCATTTTAAAAATTTAATCTACTTATACTTCATAAAAAAACTCTAAAAGACCCGCAACAATGGTAGAATGACGTATTTAACCCCTACAGATAAGCCGGAACGGCGTTATCAACCACCAGCACGCCGTCCAGAAACTCCCTCACCTTGTCCTTCTCCTCCTTCGCCGCCGCCGCCGCCGATTCCGACTCCAATGCCTCCAAATCTTTCACCCCTCCAAACACGGCAACCGATCCGATCGAGAAGCCCTTCGCCCTCGCCGGCGACAGGTTTTCCCCGACGCTCAGCTGATCAATCGAAGGGAACTTCTCCTTGATTCCTCTCGTCACCCTCAGGATCTCGCCCTTCTCGCCTTCCCCCGAATTCTCCTTCAGCTTCAGAAATGTCACCCTCATGGCAGATCCGGGAGGCACCTTCACCGGGCCGGCTAATTCGTCGGAGATCCAATCGACGGCCATGATGTCGTCGCAGATCGGGAGCACGTAGGCCTTGACGACGCCCGTGTGAATTATAAAAAACTATATTTAATTATAATCTAAATTTAATAAAATGTGATTTATTTTAAAATATAGTTTTAAAATATCAAAATTTTATAATATTTAATTATTTTAAACTATATTCAATTCGTGGTCAAGGATACCACAGCTTAACCAAAAAAGTCAAACTATGACAATCTTCTAGGGACGAATAAAGTATTATTTATGTTAAGAAATTTTATATTTATTACTAATATGAGCATTATTTTTTTTGAAATTATTAATAATTAGAAATCATCCTAAATAAGACTAAAACATAGAGAAAAGTACCAAAATAGGACTTTCATGTTTTTTTTTCGGAATAGGACTTTGCACTGTGGTAATTTGACTTTGCATTGTGGTAATGTGGCAGTGTACATGTGCAAATTACTATACTTTTTTGGTAATGTATATGATCATGTTTGGTAACGTAAGTCCTATTTCAAGAATAAAAACATTGAAGTGCTATTTTACTATATTTTAAATGTTTTAGTCCTACTTTGGTCTTTCTCCCATTAATAATCTCATATTGTATGAATTGAAAAAAAATCATACTTAAAATTTAGACTCGTCATCTTTTTCTTTTTAACGAAGTTGTACTTTTCTATACTCCCTCCGTCCTAATTTAAATCACTTGTTTTGGTTTACGATGTTTGATTAAAATTATTTTTAAATCATTTTATATGAAAAATGGAGTAGAATAAAAAATAAAAATCATATACTTAAAAACTACATAAAAAAACTTACAAAACTTGTGATGACATTCGTATACTATTTTATCGAATGACTAAAAAAATAGAGAAGAAAATAATAAAGTTTAATTTTATGAACAGTAAACATACAATTTAATTTGAAACGAAGAAAATATAAAATTGTACCAATATGAGTTACGCTTTGAACATGATAAAGTATTGTTTCGTTCGGATTCAAAATAAAATGATGCCTTAAGGTTTTGGAATTTATCCCATATTAATATCAAAAGTCGTTTACATAAAAGCAATTCGTAATAGGTTTTAACAGTATCATCGCCTTAGAGCACTGGTAATACCCCTCACGCCCACCGGCGTTACGGGGCGTTTAACGCCCCGGGGGCGTGAAACACCGCCCCCCGCCGGCGTGAAACGGGCGTGAGGGTGCATGCGTCATTCGTTTGACGCGGCGTGACTCTTGCGCGGCTCCTCCTAACGGCTAAAAAAGCCGTTGCAGCCCACATTTCAAAAAAAAAAAAAAAAAAAATTCCTATAAATTCAACCCCCCAACCAATCTCTCACACCTTCTCTTCAATCTCTTCCTCTTTCTTATTTTTAAATTTCAAAATTCAAACCCTCCCTCCCAAATTTCAACATGAATCCTTCCGGCTCCGGCTTCTTTCCCGACGATCTCCCGCTCGTTGACGCCGCGATGTGGTATTACCAAGAGTTGGGCGATCGACCGCCGATGTACGACACGCAACAGTCGGGGTACGTCGACCGAGATTCGGTTCCGGAGACTCAACCGGAACCGTCCGGATCGAAAAAAAGTACACGCCGGAGAAGCCACAAAGCCAAAAGCACGTTGACCGAGGCGGCACGGTCAATCCAAAAGTGGACGCCGGAGGAGGAGTGCATATTGGCGTCGGCGTGGGTTGACGTCTCCGAGCATCCTATCATTGGTTAAAAATTTATTTTTTGTAATATATTTATGTTTTTATTTTTATATATTATATTTAATGGACGGCTCCTACCGAACCCGGGTTGGGTTGACGTCTCCGATGAAGAAGGACGGCTCCTACCGAACCCGGGACCAACTCACTTCCAAATGGAGCCACATCAACAAAAAAGTCCAAAAGTTTAAGAGAGTTTACGAGGGATGCTCCCGGTCCCGGAGGAGCGGCACGAACGACGCCGATGTTCTCCGTCTTGCCACGACCCGGTATCAAGACGACGGGAACCAAGGCAAGGTGCCCATCGATCTTTGGAGGATTTTGAGTCGTTCCCCGAAGTGGCAACAACTCAACAATCCCGACGGCGGATCGTTCCGGAAAAGATCCACCGTCGACGCCGAGGTTGAGGTCGACGAGACTATCGGTTCTAGCGATCAAATCCCTCCCTTCAACGTTGCGGATTCCGATGATGAGGACCCCATTCCACGGCCGATCGGAAGAAAGAAGGCAAAATCCATTGCCTCGGGTTCGGGAGGGTCCGCCTCTGTTTCCGCTTCTCCCCGCGACGAAATCGGCCGGGCAATGATTAAACAACTTCGGGCGTTCAATCTCCAAGAACAANAGAGAGGTTGAAGCTAAAGGAGAAGGAGTTGAAGCTAAAGGAGCAGGAGGCTGAGATGAAAGTCATGCAAACCGACCCCGGGACGTTGTCGGAGTTTGGACGAATGATCTATGAGCAAAGAATGAGAGAGATCAAGGAGAAATATAATTTACCTTAGTTTTTTTATTAATGTATCGTTTTTTAAATTATTGACGCTTTTTTTATTTAATGAATGTATTTTTTTATTATTCGTGTTTCAATTTAATTAAATAATAAATTAATTACATTTTATTAATTTAATTTTAGAAGATGTATATTTAAAAATGTAAAAAATGAAGGTTTGAAGCCCAGTTTTGAAGCCCCGGGGCTTCAAACCCATTTCCAGTGAATTTTGGGTGTAAGTTAAAGCTGACGTGGCAGAGAGAGAAAGTTTGAAGCCCCGGTTTGAAGCCCCGGGGCTTCATAACCATTACCAGTGCTCTTATCGGTAATAGGTTTTAACAGTATCATCGCCTTATCGGCAGCCAGGGATTGCATTTACCCATAAGGGCACTAGAAATGCTCGTGAAGCTCCGGGGCTTCAAAATTGCTCTCTCTGTCACGTCAGCTTTAACTTACCTCACAGATTCAGTGGAAATGAGTTTGAAGCCTCAGGGCTTCAAACGGGGGCTTCAAACCTTCTTTTTTTACATTTTTAAATACACATCTTCTAAAATTAAAATAATAAATTTTAATTATTTTATTATTTAAAATAATCAAAAAGAGAATAGTGCATGAAAAAAATTTCATTCATTAAAAAAAATATTACATTCATAAAAAAAGTTACATTCATTTTAAAAAATATTACATCCATAAAAAACAACACTACAAACAAATTACTAATTATTCGAGCAACTGACGATATGTTCAATCAAATCTGCCGTTAGTGCATTGTGAATATCTCGACTTCGAATTTCTTGGCGATTTCTTCGTTTCTTTTTTTCGTCAAGTTCCTCGTACATAAACACCTCCTCGTCCGGGTTGTATTGACAAATCGCAAACTCGTTGTCCTTTACGATCATATTATGAAGAATAATACATGCGTACATGATATTCCTCATTTTTATTTGAGATAAACATTTCGACAGACGATCTAGAATATGCCACTTAGCCTTCAAGACCCCGAAGGCTCATTCAATATCTTTTCTCGCCGCCTCGTGAGCTTTTTTGTAGGTGTGACGTTTAAGACCCATTGGTTCGGAGAGAAACTTGACAATCGTGGAATAATCTGGATATATTCCATCGGCCAAATAATATATATGCTTGTAAAGTGTCCCTTTAAGCTCAAAAGACGAGTCGGGTGCGGTCTCATTAATCCAATCGTCAAAAACAGGAGATTGATCAAGAATTTTGATGTCGTTGTTCAAGCCCACAACACCAAAAAAAGTGTGCCAAAACCACAAGTCATTTAAAGCAACAGCTTCGAGCATGATAGTAGGCTTGGGATGATCCGAGATGACATCATTTGAAGCAACATATTTATGATAAGTTTGAATAATAGCTTTAGAAAATTTATAAACACAGGACCTAATACTCCAAGCCGACATCTTCAAGTATTCGTCGAACATATCAGATGTCGTCCCGTACGCCATTTGACGAAGCGCGACAGTGCACTTCTGGACACTACTAAACCAGCGTCGGCCTCTCGCATCAAAGCATTGGGTGAACCAAGGCACCTCGCGTTCAACATCGACGAGTATGCGTAAAAGAAGAAGATGACTCATCCAAAAATGATTACTAAAATCCTCCGGTGTATAAACACACAGAGTATTATAGCAGTCGTTGAGAAGTGAAGCGTGGGCAGCCGCTCGATCCCGGTTTAAACATTGTCGTCGGGTCTGGGTCCGGCGTCGGGAGGATTCGACTTCTTCTTTTTTGCCTTGTTGCCATCATTGATAACAACTCGTGGCAAAACAATGAAAAATGAGTGCTTTTTTTCATCATCGGATGAAGATGATTCCATTTTTAAAATATATTTTATAAATATTTATAATAAATAATCAAATATTTGAAAGATTGATAGAATTGTAGAGAGAAAATAATAAGAGAAGTGTGAGAGATAAGTTTATTTTGAGGGAATTTATATGTTTTTTTTTAATTTAGATTTTTTTTGGTTTAACGGCTAAAGTAGCCGTTTTTGGCCGTTGGGGAAAAGGAGCAACACGTTAAACGTTTGAGGCGGAGGGAGTGATGCCCGTTTGAAGCCCTAGGGGGCGGTATTTAATGCCCCCGGGCGCTAAAACGGGGTTGACGCCGACCGGCGTCACACCCATTTCCTCTGCTCTAAGTAGAATCCTCTCAGTTAAACAGTTCGATAGAATAGATAAATAGAATAGATAAATGTTTAATTAAAATACTCTTAGGCTCCGTTTGGTACACGGAATTCAAACTATGAAATTGGAATTGAAGACTTCAATTCCAATTCTGGGGTTTGGTAGCATAAAAATTTCGCTTGAGCCCTTTAGTCACATCCACAATTTGATTCTTCTTGTTTTCAGTCAGATTCTCCTTCAATTTCAAAAGCTTAGCTCTGATTATGGAACCGGGGGCGACCTCGGTAGAGCCGGAGAAGTCATCGGAGATCCAATCGGCCACCACGATGTCGTCGATGATGGGAAATAGGTAATTCCTGACCACGGACAAGTGAAGATGGTGCGCGTTGTACTCTTCGAGGTCCGACGCGGAGTCGTAGCGGGAATGGAAGAGATGAGTGAACGCCGGCGCCGGCGACTGCGTGCGGAGGATCGGGCCGGTGGTGAGATGGCGGACCTGCGGGAGGGAAGCGAGGCCGTAGAGGTTTCTGAGCATGTCGTTAATCTTGGAATGCTCGACGCCCGGCTTTGTTCTGACGAGCACCACGTGTTCGACGATTTGCTTCGCTGATACCTTGACAGAAGAAGCCGGGGAGACACGGCGGCGCGTTGTGGCGGTTGAGGCGCCGGTGCTGAGGCTGGGAGAACAAAGTGGTTTGACGGAAATCATTTTGTCTGCCAATGGGAGGGAATATGATGGAGGCTTTCTATCTGACGCCGGATTTATATAACTCCGGCGCGGCTATATGAATCGGTAATCTTCTTTGGATCTTCTTCCTCTTCCAGTTTTGGAATTGTCACTTTGACCGTTTTCAGCGATGGTGCATTGATGGGAATCAAAAGTTTCAAAACCATTCATATACTCATTTCTCATTCTCCATTAATTTTCTTTCACTTATTTATCTTATCTTGGGCTCCGTTCAAGACTTATTTTTCTCATTTATTATTTATTTTTATTAAAATCAGATCTAATCAAATTAAGTCAAATTTAATCAGATCAAATCTAATTAGATCATATCATATCAGAAAAATAATAAAATTAATATTAATATTTTTTCAAGGACTAAATAATACGGAGTAATAATTACTCCCTCCGTTCGGATTTTAAGTTCCCGGTTTGACTTTTGCTCATTTTTAGTGAGTGTTGACTATGAGTGTAATTTGTCGGAAATGCCCTCCCTCTCCCTCTCCTTTACCAGCCCTGCCATCGTCACACACCTCCAAGAACCACCGCAGCCTCTCCTCGCCGAGTCGCCGCTAACCCCATCATTGTCTCTAGACCCATCACGGCTCTTTTTTCCGACCATCCTTTCACCATATCCGCCACAGCCCCACCATCAAATCTAAAATAAAGAATGATGAGAAAGAAATCGGAAAAAGAGAAGAAGAGGAGTGCAGATCTAAACATACCTTAACGCACCCTCACCATCGCTGTCACCCCACCACCGCCGGCCAGCCCCACCTTCGTCCGAAGCCCCACCATCTCCGCCACTGTGATGCAGGCAGATCTAAAAGAAAAAAGGAGGAGAGGGAAAAGAAGAAGAAGAAAAAGAGGAAAAAAGGGAGATCTAGACTCACAATCATCACCGCCACCACTATCGCTGCTGCTACCTCACCGCCATGCTCAGATCGAGAAGAAAAATGGAAGAGAAATTAGAGTAGATAAAGAAGAATAAAGATGAATGGGAGAAAAAAGAGAGGAGGAGATGGACGGAGGAACACAGAGAGGATGAGATGGACGGAGGAACACAGAGAGGAGAAGAAAGAAAGAAGAAAAAGAAGAAAATGAGGAGAAGAGATAGAACAAGAATTGGGGAATTGAAATGGAGAAGGACTAGAGACAAGGAGAAAAGATAAAGGAAAGGATGGGATATTTTAGGGAGGGGTATTTTTGGAAGAATTGGAATAAAATAGTAGAATGGGAACTCTAATTCCGGACGGAAAAAAACGTAGAATGAGAATTTAAAATCCGGACGGAGGGAGTATTCAATTAAATCACATTATTTTCTTTAAAGCTACACACACTTGAATATTAATTAATATTGTAACTTTAAATATATATGTTTAATATTATTATTATTCCATATTATTATAGGACGGATGAAATATTAATATTATTGTGTGATGTGTAATTTGTAACATGCAATATATTACTATGTAATATGTATAAAGAATGTACTCCCTCCGTTCTAAAATCATCTTCTCAGTTCTCACTTTTCCATGTTCTAAAACTACCTTCTCATTTCTAAAAAAAGTGCAAAGTGACCAACATAACCCTCTTACCCATTACTCCACATTTGCAGCTCTTCCCTCAAATAAAAACCTAGATCTACTCTTCCTCCCTACCCTTCGATGCCTCTCAATCTACTCAGACCTTTCTTTCCTCTGTTTTTCCGATTGCCGTTGTCGACGTCTCGCGAGTGAGCAGTAGGTTGAGTTCCTATTTCTCTTTTCAATTTACAAAAGCCCAACTTGATTTCCTATTTCGTTTTTCAGAAGCTTCTGAATTCCATTTGAATTCTTCCAATGCTAAAGCTTCGAATGAATTTGAGTTCCTATTTCTTTTTTCTTTCTTTCTTTTTTGCTTCATCACAGCGATGAAAGGGTGAGTTCCTTCTGGGTTGGGTTTTTTTAGCTTTTTGTTTTTTCACTTTCTTCAAATTGACGGGAGAACATATTTAAAAAGGGATGGAATTGAGTTTTTTCACTACCGCTTCCGTCACCGAGCAATTACTTGAGCCGTTGTCGTTGAATCATTAACGTCGACGCTTAATTACATCGCCCAATCGCCAGAAAAAGGGGGTCGTTCTTTTTTGAATTTGGATGGGAGTTGGATTGTTATTCTCCAAATTTTAGAATGAGGGTATTTTTGGAAGGTTAAAGGTATATTTACGCATTCCTTAAAAATGGGCTAAAGTCAAACCGGGAAGGTCAATTTAGGACGGAGGGATAGTTTTGTAGAATAACATCCTTATTTTCTTTATTTTAATACCTAGTAATAATACATTCTCTTCACTACATAAATAGTGAACTATTTTGTCGAGCGTTGAGGACGACAGTTGGGGCCAATAGGTGTGGCCTTGTGTAAGGGCCGATAGGTGTGGCCTTGTGCAGGGGCCATCGATGGATCTGGCTGAGTGCTATCATTTTGGTGTGATCTCGCATTTCAATGATCTCTTGTTCGACTTCAAGTTGTTGATTGGGCTGGATTCAGATATCCATTATGCATCAACCTCTGAGAATGACTATGACAAAAAGTATGACTCATGTGAAATTATATTTTTAAACTTCAATTTAGAGTCAACATGACAAAAGATAATAAGAATGACCATATGTAAAGAGGTATTTGTTAGAATATAAATAACTGTTCCTGGGCCACAAGCTTGAGCTTTTGGTTGAGTTGGTTCACTGACATGGTATCAGAGCCTCGTTGACTAAGAGGTCACGGGTTCGAAACTCAGCGCCACCCAGTTTAAAAAAAATTAAGGTTTCACGTGCAAGGCTCGAAAAAGAATACGCCTGCACGTGAGGGGGCGTGTTAGAATATAAATAACTGTTCCTGGGCCACAACCACAAGCTTGAACTTTTGGTTGAGTTGGTTCCTTGACAGTATTAATAAACAAAGAACACGAATATAATACTCCCTCCGTCCTCCTGTGTTTGTTCACATTTGACTTTTGAAACTGTTCATCTAAGCACTTTGACTCATCAAATTCTCTCAATGTGTAAGCCTAAATATAGTCATGTGTGATCTTGTTTGATTTGTCTTAACATATAAATTATTAATATATAATTTTTATAATTTTTTAATATACAAATTACAAGATAAAATGAATTAAAGAAGTGCATTGAATGGTGTGTAAAAATGAAAGTGGACAAATACAGGGGGACGGAGAGAGTATTTAATAATAAAAGACTAAATATGAAAACTTGCTATTTTAAAACTTAATTAATACTCCCTCCGTCCATTTTTAATCTTCACACTTTCTTTTTCGGTCTGTCCACTAATAAAGTTTCCATTTCCGTTTTTGGAAACTTTTCTTTATTACAATGACTCAAATACCCTTATCCCTACTTTCTTTTTCTCCTTCTATCCTTTATTCTCGTTCTTCTCCTTTACCTCATCTTCTTTCCCCCTTCCATCTTCCTCTATTTTTCTTCCCCCGACCCACTTTTTCCTTTGTTTTTCTTCTTCTTTCATTCTTCTTCTTCTTTCACTATTTTCTTCTTATAGTCATTATATGCTTCATTTTCGCACGGTAAATGCTCAGATCTTTTAATCCAGCCTTTTTGATTTTACAGATCTGCTCATCCTCCGTCATCATCTACTCGATGGATGGGTATAATCCATGATAATTTAAAAAAATCTAGCCCTGGAATGGCAATTGATGGCAATCAATTTTCAATTGCCCGTTTTCGATTTGAACGAATCCATAATCAAATGCATCTCTGCTAGCAGCGCCTCTCTTCTGCCAACGTCAAAAGCTCAGGTCTTCTCCTCTGCCAGCGCCTTTCTTCTGCCAACAAGAACATCTGCGGACTGCGGTGGTGCCGGAGTAGACGACGATTGATAGCAGTGAGAATCGGAGAAGAAAAGGGGGGAGTCGACGGAGGATGGAGCCCACACGAGAGATTGGTATTGTTTAGGGGTATAAGTGGAAAGTGAAAGTAAATTTACCATTCATTACTATGTGTGCCCAGGTCAAGTGTCAAACTAGAAACATTTAAAATGGACGGAGGGAGTATTGAAAAAAACTTTTCAATTGTATACTCCCTCTGTCCACCGTAATCGACATTATTCTAAGAGTCAAACTTTACTCACTTTGTTTGCTTACTTTTACTACTCATTTCATAATATAATATAGTGTTGTCACTTGTAGCTTTGTAGAATTTTTCATGTACTTTTTTACTATATAATTTTTTTTGAATTTTATTCTTATAATTAAATAAATTAAATTAAAAATAAAGTCGGTCAAATCTCGTAACGCGCAATGGGAATATATTTGGTGGACGGAGGGAGTAAGAAATAAAGGTTTGCTTGCATCTTAGTTCTTCGACCTATAAATTAATTAAATAAAAAAATATTTTAAAATCTTACAAGATAAATTTAATAAGAAAATTTATATCAATTTTATATAATTTATTGTAAGAATTTATCAAATTTGATAAAAAAATTAAATCAAACAAATATTTGGTAACACCCATAAATACCGGGCTTTTAATGTATAAACTTCGTTTGGGCTTTGGATGATTCAAGAAATAAATACCCTTCCATCCCAATAAAAAAAGACCAATTTCTCAACATACTTTTTCTACCAAAAAAGTCAAATCAACGGAGATAGGGTCACAGGGAGTACTATATTTGTCTCAATTTTTTTGTTTGATTTTTATTTAACTTTGACAACAAATAAAAAACGCTCTCTTCTCAAAATTATAAGTCATAGTTTAAGTTTTATGTTAATTTTAACCATAAATAAAATATAACTTATAATAATTAAATAAATTATAAAAATTTGATATATCAAAAGCATATGGAGTATACCTTAAAACAAATATAATTATATATTTATGATACCTATCAAAGTTACCATAAAGGTCAAACTAGGACAATAATTTTGAAAGGAGGAAGTAATTATTTTATTATAGAGTAGATAAAAGAGTGTATAAAGATATTTAAATGCTCCGTACGATGTTCTTTTTAGTTAAACTAAATAAAATAAAAAGGCAAAAATATATATTTAATTATTTCAAAAAATTATACAACGTACTTTAGCTTTATAAAAATTTGAAAAAGTACTACCTCTCTTGTCTCTCCCGAACCAATCATCTCATTTTCATTTTTCTAAAAAAATTGTCACATTTACTAACATATCTAAAAACTTGTTTCATGAGAGCAAGATACACACACATATATGTGTGTGTGTGTGTGTGTATATATATATATATATATATCTGTGTGTGTGTATATCATTTGTACTGTGGTTGGTGAAACATAAAAAAGTTTGTTTAATATCTCATACTCCTAGTATTACGAATTCTTGAAATGAAGGGTTTGATATCTTTAGAGTATGAGAGATATCAAAATTAGGATTTCATATTTTTATCAACCGCCAACTATCATTAATTAGGATTGTTCCCTACTACACTGTTAGTGTCAATGCAACCACTCTCATTGCTAGCCACCTTCGTTTGTTACTAATTATATTATGATTTCAAATTTATTTAAATGACTTTATTTCAAATTTCATTACTCATACATTTTTTTATCTTGATTTCAAAACTCATATCATATCTTCAAAACCACTAAGCAAATCTTATTAAAGTAAAGAATATTACTCTGTAAATTATTCTCTTTTTTCTAATGAAATTAAAGTTCAACAATTAGCTTTTAAATTTTCATAGATGTTTTTGAATTTTATGAAATCAAAATATGTCAATTAATTCGAAAAGTAGGAGAACGTGTATAAATTAAATTATTACGGAGTATTATTTTAACCAGGGAGGGAGGATAATATAAATAATTTAAATAAATGTGAACAAGGGAACGTGGTTTATGAATAGAGGCCTACGCCATTATAGTACAAGAACAATCACATGCATAAACATGGATTGGATAAGTCGTTGAGCGAATAGACATGTTGATGTGGAAACACTTGAAATCAACCAAGCAAAGATATATAGATTACACATCCAATAATTATACCAATAATTACATATTTAATAATAATAATGCTAACAGTAAATAAGAATATTAAATAATACGAGTGTACTTATTCGAAACGTAACTTATAGAGTTATAGTCCATACATTATTGTGTACGTACGTGGTACTATTTCAAAGATTTCTTTTCTATTTTCCTGTTTTACTACATTATTCAATGTTGTAATGCCTTAGAATCTGACTCGTTACAACAGAGAGATGTCCGAGTTCCGAAAAAGTCCGAGAAATCCAAGTTCCGGAGAAGTCGAAAAATCCGAATTCCAGAGAAGTCGAGAAGTCCGAATCTTGAGATGACCGAATCCTATTTTATTTGGGCTTTCTAATTATATGTTAATTATGTAGTTTTGGGCCCAAGTCTGTTAGGGTTTAACCAAGCACTATTTATATGGGTGCTACTACAAACCCTATGTAGTATTCTGTTTTCGCCTCTTCATCCGAAATAAAACTGCTCCCCCCCTCTTCCCGTGGACTAGCCAACACAACGTTGGTGAACCACGTTAAATCTGTTGTCGTGTTTTCTCGTTTATATTTGTTATTCTCGAATTCCTCATAACATTCAATTTATCTCGTCAAATCAAGGGCAAACATGAAAAATTTTTACACATTTAAATTTTTCTTAATCTCCTTGCTATGCTAAATCAAAAAAAGAAATTTTTGAACATACAGTAGGAGTAATAAAAAAAAGTAGTCCGTACAAGACAAAATAAAGTTTTCCTTAACAATAATATTGTATTTTTACTTGCTTGTCACATAGTGAAACAAGTGAACATGTCTCCTATTGTGAACCATGCACTTCATGGCCGGTGTCCAATTATTGCAAAATGGTAAACCTCCATCACCCACTAGTACCAAAACCCAAAAAAAAGAAGTACGTAGCTGAAATAATCACTACTTAGTTATTCCCTCTTTTCAAAAAAAAGACCTTTCTATTTTTATTTTTCATTTGTGCCAAAAAATACATTCATACAATAATATCTCTCTTTTACCCTGGTTTACTATTTATTAACTTCTTATCACATCATATTTTTTTATTAATCTACATATTACTCCCTCCGTTTTTTAAAAGTGTTCCTATTTTGACTTTGTGAAAAAATAAGGAAGTGTTAAATTGTAGTTGACTTCCAATTTTGCCCTTGATGTGATGGGTAAAAGTAAGATATGATGGATTGAGTATTAGAGGAAAAGTATGATGTGATAGGTAGGGTATGAAAACGTAAGGGTAAAAGTGGTTTTTTAAAAGAAAGTGGAAGTGTTTTGTTGGAAGTAAAAAAAAATGAAAGAGGAAAAGTTTTTTAAAACGGAGGGAGTACATTGTATCCTATCTTTTAATAAAGTAAATACAAAAATAAAAAAACAGTAAATGTATACAATTTTTTTAATTCTATGTTTTTCAGAGTGAAAATGATTTAAGAGACGGGTAATAAATAATGCTTACTGAGAGTTGAGAAGAATAATGGGTGGAGTACTATATTCGTAGCCACACATCACGAGGGAAGAAATGAGTGAATATCTCGACTTTTTCTACTCCGTAGTAAATAGAACTAGCCCAATCTAAAGCAGACTAGTCTACTAGTTCCAACGTCCCTAAATATTTGTCACACTTGTATTCTCGAGACAAAATATCAAGTTTTTTCAATTCATTTCATTTACATATTGGTATGAAAATAAAAAATAAAATTTACATATCAAAATACTACATGAAAATTTCTTCGAAATAAGAGGTGTCAAGAATATTTTATTTTATCAAATAACCAATGAAAATGTAGAAATAAACAAAAGTTTTCGCGACTGCTGAAAAAGCAAATGTTGTGAATATTTTGGGACGGAGGGAGTATATAAATATCGACCCGGTTTCATGGCAACTGGATTCCAGTGGCCATGGAACCGGGTCGATATTTATATACTCCCTCCGTCCCAAAATATTCCAGTGGCCATGGAACCGGGCTCTATAAATATTGAAGTTAAAATATTGAGCAATTCTAGATTAACACATAAAATAGTCACAAAATTCACAAACTTATCATAAGTTCTCTTTTTAAAATTATTTTAGACTATTTTTTTATTGAAGCTCAAAAATAGTAACTTTGTGAGATTTATGACTATTTTGTTTGTGAATCAAACATTTCACTAACACAATGTTTGGTTTAAGGAATTTGAGAGGAAAAGTAATAGAAAATGAGAAGAAGAATTTTTTTTTGTTTGGTTAGAGAGAAAAAGAAAAGAAAAATGGAAGGAAACGGAATTGAGAAGGGAAAATGTACTAAGATTCTAAAAAGAATGAAAACCAAAATCCTCCTATTTTGATAAGGAAAATGAAGAAAAACTATTTTCTTTTATTTTCTTTCAAATTCCTTGAGCCAAACATAATGTAATGGTATGTTTGGGAATATGGATTTGGATTTCAAATCTGGATTTGGCTCAAATTCCATGTTTAGAAAACTTAAAAATTTTGAATTTGGAATTGAGTCAAATTTCTCTCATTGATAACAAAGCTTATTTTGAAATTTAAGCACCTCTCCTTGTCATTTGAAATTCAGGATTTCAAATTTTAGAACTGAAATACATGAATTGAAATAAAATGCTAGTTTCCAAACACTGTCTATAGAAATTTGCTCTAACTCATCTTTAGTCGTCGAGTGAGAATTTTAATCAATTGGATTAAATGGGGTCAGTAATCTTCATTGATAGTGTTAAGTATTGGAGGATGATAAGTCTGTTTTGTACACACTTATTTTCTTTATATTTCGTGTGTTATTGTACAATTTTAGATTAAACAAGAAAATTTCTCAATGATTTCTATTAGTTTTTGTTTATAATTGTAAAAATGTAAAAAAAAGTCATGTCTTGTACGTTGTAAAAATAATAAAGTTGGGTCAAAAGTAAAATACATAAAGGTGTGAAAATTTGTGCAATTGGAAGGCTAGAGAGTAAGAGGGCAACAGATTGTGAAAATCTATGGAGTGAAAAATGTACATTCAAATGTGGCGGTGCATCCCATCAAAAGATTTGAGATCACAAGTCAAAAAGAGGCTGAATCAGGCTTTGAAACAAAAAGATTAGAACAAAATGACAAAAATGCGAACATTGGGCTAAATGTGGTCCAGGCCTCGGACAGGCGCGCACC